CTCGCCCTGTGGTGGAATGCGCCAACTTTAAAGGCGCATATCTCAAAAACTACAGTAGCTAGAAAAAAGTTGTTAATTAGTAAAATGTGTAAAATAAAACTTCACATAGGTCAATAACAAATTTCTTTCTTCTAGCTTTATGCTTCTGGAGATATGCGCCTTCAAACTTAGCACGCCTTCTCCTTCCCTTTTCTTCAAGCCTCAAGCAACGCGCTAACTTCAAAGGCGCATATCTCCAAAACTACGGTAGCTAGAGAAAAGTTGTCAACTACAAAAATGAAGCTCTAGTTTTACTTTGTATACTCTGAAAGTTTCAGACAAATTCATTTTTTTCAGTACACCATTCGTAGCCGTTTCCTCATGCTGTTCGATTGGATTTTTGGAGAGGCCAGTGTGAAATCGAGTACAGTACCAAGATTTAGGAAAACTCTATTTTTGAACTTTTTTTGATACATATGGTTTTTTTTAAAATAAAATTTTTTGATTCTAGAAAAAAAATTTTATCAAAAAATTTCAGATTTTCGAAGTTTCAAAATTCGAAAAATCAGAAATTTCGGCATCTAGAACCTTCTAGAACCCTAAAAACTTGCCTAAAACAAAAGCAAAAAAAGTTTGCCACCGGATGGAATCGAACCCGGGTGTTGAGATTGCGATTCTCGAAAAATCCCACTAGACCATCTGACCTCATTGTTAGGAAATATGGTTTTTAACGGTTTTAAAAGATTTCTGATGTTTGGAACCTAGTTGTTTGAGTTTGCCAATACTATTTTATGAATTTAAGGCACTTTTTGAGTAAAACAACTCATAAATTTCCTCTGGTATACAGTGTAGCTCGCACCTAGGCTCCGCCCACTTTTTTGCCCGAAGTTGTTTCCCATGATCAGTATCGTTTTTATCAGTTTCTTACTTTCATCAATAATATATATACACCTATATTTTTTGTTGATTGTCCGCCATTTCACCTTGGAGCACACAAGAGAGACACGTGAGCTCTACTGATAAGAACCTATTTCTCTGGCGTCTCTCAATTTTGTGTACTCTCTCGTTTAATGTAGTATATTATGTTCTATGTACTTTCCCGGAAATTTTCAGTTTCCAAGCATGCCACCTTTTTTGTGCAAAAAATTTTTTCGTTCTTTGGAATTTTGATGATTTCTAGTTTTCGTGGTTTGGAGTTTCCCTTATCCCAGAAGGATTAAATTTACTTAAATTTTCTTTTTTTTTGTTCTTAAAATTTGAATTTTTATATTTTTTCTAGAACAATCGAGACGGCAAATGTTCCAACATCACCATGGTAAGTGAGACGTTGTATTCAAAGACGCATATCTTTGAAACTACGGTAGCTGAAAAAAAATTGTCAACTAGTGAAATGTGTGAAATTTTATTTTTACTTATATTTGTAGTTGACAACTATTTTCTAGCTACGGTAGTTTTTGAAATATGCGTTTTTAAAGTTAACCTACCTCCTTCCATTTCCTTCGCTACCGTTGGCAGGTCAGCTAACTTTAAAGGCGCATATCTCCAAAACTACGGTAGCTAGAAGAAAGGTGTCAACTATGAAAATAAAACTCCTGTATTGTTGTGTATATTCTGTGAATTTTACACTCAAGAAAATTATTTTCCCCATATTATTGTTTTTTTTTTGACTTTAAAATTTTGGAGTTCCTGAAAACTAATTTAACGGATTTCAATCTTCTTGAAATTTCTCATGTATATTAAACAGAGCTGAAACTTAATTCTTGCAGTTAACCACTTTCTTGATATACCGTACTATTGGAGATATGCGCCTTTAAAGTTGGCGCACCTCCCTCTTTCTTTTTGGCGACAAGCAAGAAGACGCACCTAATTTAAAGGCGCATAACTCGAAAACTACGGTAGTTAGAAAAAAGTTGTCAATTACAAAAATGAAGCTCTAGTTTTGTTTTGTATGCTCTGAAATTTCCAGAAAAAGCAGCAAAAAAAGGTCGATGTTATGAAACTTTTAAAAAAATTCTTAAGAAATTTTTTTTTCTAAAAAGCGATTTTTCAGAATCCGACTGGAACAACTCCACGTCATCTAGTCAACAACAAAAAGAGTGCACAATCTGTGGAGCACCATCAAACGGCTATCATTTCAATGCGGCGTCGTGCTCAGCGTGCGCCGCATTCTTCCGACGTACTGTAACCCTGAATCGGAATTTCGTGTGTAGCCATCAGAATCTTTGTCGAGTTAATTATGGTAATAAGGTTAATTGGGATTCAAAATTGTAACATTTTTGGCATTTTCAGCAATGCGAGTGATCTGTCGAGCGTGTCGCTACCAAAAATGCTTAAGTATGGGCATGGAAAGGTTGGTTTAAACTTTGGAACCGAAATTTTCCAAACAATTTTATTGACATTTTTTGTATTGTTTGTAATTTTGTAGCCCTTTTGCAGAGCTACATTTTGCATTTTTAACTTTTCAGAAATCTTAATTTTCAGTCAAGATACATCTAATTTTAGGTCGGCAGTCCAACCCAGAAGAGATTGCAACGCTGGTCGTCGGAAAATCATGTATAACAACAACATGAAGGCGCTAAGCCCACCGCCACCACAAACTACAGTAATCCAAGGATCTACAGTAATCTTCAAGGACGAGCAAATCTATGAAGAATCGTCTCCAGAAGTGCACTACGCTCAATCCTATTCATCATCGATAAGCGAGGAGATCACACTGTCTCCAAAAATTTCTGTTGATATGTCTTTGTGAGTTTTGGGGTACTGTAACTTTTGTGAATATTCGTAATTTTCGAAAATTTTAATTTGCGAAAATAGGAGTTTCAAAGAGCTACAAATTAATATAAAATTCAAACAAGTTCATTTGGGTTAATGGCCAAAAAAAGGATAAAATCTTAAGTTACACCGTATTTCCTCCTATAGAATGACATCTACATTTGAGTCAATTTACCTCGTTTCCTATAAGAGATATCAAAAAGTTGTCAACTAATAAAATGTTTATCACATTATGATAAACATTTTGTTAGTTTGCTACTAATTGATATCTTTTACAGGAACAGAGATATATGAGTTTAAAGTTGACGGGTTTGGAGGGGGGGGGTCTGTTCTTACGGTATACCTAGTTCAACAACCACTATCTAATGACAAAATTGTTTGAATACAATGAATTATGTGCCATTGGAAAGCCCATTTAAAATTCTATATTTTCCATCAAATTCCACTTCCAAAATCATACGTTTTCAGACAATTCGAAGCTGAACAAGTGCTGGAAGACCTTCTTCGAGAGGAACGGCTGTTCAACGAGCGCCGCAAACTGTTGTACTGCTCGAATAATAGTATTTCGAATTTGATAACAAATGAGAATTCAAATGAGATTGTGAGTTGATTTTTATCTAATTTTGTAGCCCTTTTTGAGAACTACAGTATCCATTTTGAATTTTTGAAAAATCTCAAATTCGAAGCTAGCTACATCGTTTTTACCTGGGGAGACTACTTCATGCTGACAAGGAGCCTCTAGATTTCAATCTTTAAGAATCTTCTATTTCCCCATCAGTTGAATCATAATGAGTTTTATGTTGTTTTGTAGCTCTTTTCAAATCCTACAACATCCATGTTAAAATTTAAAAAAAAATCTAAAATACGAAGCTATTTACAACGTTTCTTCCCATCCATGTTAATTCATGCTGATGATGTAGATTCCAATCTTTAAAACTCCTCTATTAAAAGAACCAAAATTCAAAACATTATGTATTTTATATGTATTTCATAGCCCTTTTCAAATCCTAAAACCTCCATTTTGAATTTTTCAAAAATCTCAATTTTGAAGAAAGTCACAAGGTCTTTTTCAGCCTTACTCTCTTTCGGATCTTCAGCCTCTCACATTTGCGGGAATTCAGAAGCACATTCGACCGCAAATTCTGGTGATTTATGAATGGCTTCGCGGATGGCGTCATTTTGAGCTATTGAATACAAGAGATCGTATGATTTTTTTGCGACGATGCGTTCTTTATCACACGATTTTGGACCCATCCTACTTGTCATATCGACTGGGTCTTCCAGAGAAGTTAGTTGCATTCTTTGAAGGTTTCCAGGCAAATTTTGGTCTTTTTGGAGCTGAAAATTGCTGTAATACACTCTGAAAATTCCAGATTCGTCATGTTCAATGGTATGTACGTTGGTGCCCAGGCTGGAAATAAGACTGGATGGGAAGATGAAAATGATTGTATTAGTTCGGATTTGAAGATCAAGTAGGTACTCTAGAAGTTAATTTTCATTCGAAAAAAAAATGCTAAATTTGAATTCAGAATCCTAAAAATAGTCAAAATAGCGTTAAAAAACAAAGCTTTTGAAAAATTGCACAAATGGCTCAGTGGGATTTTCAATGATTCTCACTACCAATCTGACGACCCGGGTTCGATTTCACCTGGTGGCAAACTCTTTTTGCCTTTGCTTTGAGCAATAATCAATAATTTTAAAGGGCTCTAAACGACAAATTGGGGGTTTTTTTAAAAAAATTTTGAATTTCAGAAGCCAAAAATTTAGAAAAATCTGAAATTCGGGTATCTAGAATCTTCTGAAGCTTTCTAGAACCGTGAAATACCTCTTAAAACAAAAGCGAAAAAAAGTTTGCTACCAAGAGGACTCGAACCCGGGTGTTGAGATTACCAAAGTTTCAAATCGAAAATCCCACTGAGCCATCCGGCCAATTTTTCTAAAAATAGCGAAAATTTCGATGTTTAGGCTATTTTATAGGTTTTTAAGCTTGTGAAAGTTGAGTTTTGTGTTATTTTTCCGGTTTCGAGCCCCGTAGAAGCTGATTTTTGAGTTGTTTTCAATTTTTCGCCCTAAGACAGCGATTTTACAGACTGTACCGCCCGCTGATGGAACGATTGGTGAATGAAGTGTGTGTGTCGATGAAGGCGATAAATTTGAGTTTTACGGAATTCGTACTTTTGAAAGCTCTGGTTTCTTTCAAATCGTCAAGTGAGTGTTTTTAAAGGAAAAATTCCAGAAAATTCTTAAAATTTCCAGTTTCAGCATGTTGCGACGTCTCGGAACCCCTGAAGAAGTTCATGAACTCATATATGGATTCGATTTTGAGAGCACTGAACATTCATTATCAAAGTCTTGGAATGTCGAAAGACGAGATTGCTCAGCGCATTGGAAACGTCATTTTGATGATGAGCAGCATTTTTGTGAGTTTTCCCCCAAAAATAGACGAATTTATCTGAAAATATTGAGCGAAACTAGAATTTTCTTGCTGAAAAACGTTGAAAAAAACACGAAATTTCCTTTCCATGTATTGAAACCAATTAAATGGCGTAAAAACCACATTTTCCCCTATTTTTACCAAAATCGGCCAGATGGCTCAGTGGGATTTTCACTGTTGGAATCTGGTAATCTCAACACCCGGGTTCGAGTCCACATGGTGGCAAACTCTTTTTGTTTCTTTTTTTGTGAAGGATGTCGGTGTTTTAGAAGGTTCTAGATTCCAAAATTTCAGATTTTCTGAAATTTTTGGCTTTTGAAATTTCGAAAATTTCCAAAAAAAAAAATGAAAAAATCCCATCCAGAAGCTTCTAGAGCCCTAAAATATTGCTCAGCACAAAAGCAAAAAGAGTTTACCACCAAGTGGAATCGAACTCGGGTCGTCAGATTGGTAGTGGAAAACTTTGAAAATCCCACTGCGCCATTTGTGCAATTTTTCTAAAAACTAGGTTGTTCATTCTTTTTCGACTAATTTGAGGGTCCTGAATTCAAATTTCGCGTTCGTTTTGCATAAAAATCTTGTTTTCCATCAAAAAACATAAGTTATTTCAGGCCGTTGGAATGGAATGTTTGGAATCTCATCAAAAAATCCAATTTTTCGATTTATGGCAATTGGATGATCTACTGATTAAATTGATTCAGCGAGGCGGTGGAGCGGCGAATTATTGATTTTGTAAAGACGAAAAACTTGTTGAAAATTTATATTTCTTGCCATAAAAATGTTCATTTGGAAATTAATTAAAATTTGGAAAAAATACATTAAAGATGAAAGGGACAGATTTTACAATTTTTTGAAATAGAAAAAATTGAAATTGGTTCAAAATCAATTACAAAATGAAACATTGGAACATAGAGCTCCATGAGCCGGATTGCTCATCCTCGCGCATAGCTCAAAAACTACGGTAGCTAGAAAAAAGATGCGAACAAATTAAATGTGTGAAATTTGATTTTATACATTTTGGTGGTTTACAACTTTCAAATAACTTGAAGATTTTTTGAGTTATGCGCCTTTAAAGTTCATGGTGTGAAAGAGAGGCTACCATATTGATATCTTATCCTTAAAGGCGCGTGCCTTAAATGGAGGAAACTTCTTGAAAATCAAAAAAAAATGAAAAATGTGACATTTCTGCTCGAAGGAGCGTATGAATATAATCTGGAAATCACATGAAATAGATTGAAAGAGTGAGAGAGTGTGAAGAAACAAGAGACGCAGAGAAAATGTGTGTGTGTACGCCTCTAGTACTACGTATCTCTGGAGTACAAAAATATTGTTTTTTGAACCGAAAAGATTGAATTTCGAAAATTTTATACAAAATGATTCGTATTTCTCAAAATTCTAATTCTGAAAATATTTAAGATGAAAATTCTGAATTTTAGAGTTCTTGAAAGTTCTTGTTATTGCTGAAACTACAGATTATCTTGCTAACTAAAAAAAATATTCAAAATCGTTTTTATTTAAAAAAATAATAATAATATGAAAATACAAATACATTTCGGGAATAGAAAAAAATTATATTAAAGGTGGGGGGACAGGAGATTTTTCGTAGTTTTTTTGTAGCTAGAGTATGCATTCTACCGTCACGGTGTACAACACTTAATGTCACTCTGCGTACAGCTGTCGTCCTCGCCTTTATGTATGCAATCGGGCGTCCGCTTTCTCTTTGCCCGCGTGGCTCAGTCGGTAGCGGCGCCGCACCCTCAATCATCGCCCTCACAAGTTCAACTCCTCGAGGGGCATCTTTGAACGGAATTTCGAGAACATTATTTTTTTCATGTCCCCCCACCTTTAAAAGAAAAAAAAACAAAATAAATAAAATGAAAAATACAATTTTTGAAAAAAAAAAGGATATCAACAACAAAATCGGATTGTTATGTATTTAATAAATTTATGGATTTTTAAATATTTTTAATCATAAGTTGAAGTATTTAAAGAATTCGGGATTTTTTGGTTTTTAAAGTTTGGGATATTTTTAGTACGGGTTATTATGGTATTTATAGATTTTCAAAACTTCAGAATTTTTTTTTAATTCTAGACATTTCTAAGTTCTAATTCAAATGTAAATTATGAGATTTGATTGTTTTTGAATTTTGTTGGTTTTAAACAACAAAAAAAAGATCATTGAATTCCAATATAGGAATTTTGCTTCAAAAACAATTCGGGAAATTGTTCCTCAATGTACAAATCAGCGAGTATCATATCAATATCATCAGGAAGTTTTTCAGAATTTTTCACAATGCCTTCTATCTCTTCCTCGACGTCCATATCATCATAGTATTCATGCACTCCATTTTTTTCTCCCCTATATCTTGGTCCACGGAAAACAATCATTTTATAACCAAGATTCATTCCCAATTTTCCAGAACGTTCGTAAGAAAAATAGGCCCAGTTATTCAAATCCGTCTCATATTTGCTTCTCAGTCTATCGATTACATTTTGATCGAAAGAGGTACGAGATGGACAGTTGATTTGAAGTTTTGCCAGTTCATGATTTTTGAGAAGATCCTGCAAAATTTTGTAAAATAAAATTGTTGTGAAAAAAAAATGTATTTTTGGAATTTTGCTCAAACTCACTCTTATCAAATCCATCAAATAATGGTCATGAAGTTCGCCATGGAAGCATACAACCGCATCATTAAAATTCGAGAAAAAACGACATTCGTCCCATGGAAAGATCACATTTTTGACCCGAAGTTTGTCAGCATGTTGGAATGCCTCAGTGCCGATAACTGAGATCATATTCAACTCATGACTTTCTTTTCTTTCTAATGATCTCTCATTGTAATCCAAATAAATTTTACAAATATTTGAGTAATCTATGCGGTCCATGATCTGTCCAACATCTTCGGGTGTTTCGAACTGAAACAAAATTACATGTTTTAGTTAAAGGTGGGGGGACATGAAAAAAATAATGTTCTCGAAATTTCGTTCAAAGGTGCCCCTCGAGGAGTTGAACTTGTGAGGGCGATGATTGAGGGTGCGGCGCCGCTACCGACTGAGCCACGCGGGCAAAGAGAAAGCGCACGCCCGATTGCATACATAAAGGCGAGGACGACAGCTGTACGCAGAGTGACATTAAGTGTTGTACACCGTGACGGTAGAATGCATACTCTAGCTACAAAAAAACTACGAAAAATCTCCTGTCCCCCCACCTTTAATTAATTGAAAAATGTGTAAAATTAAAATTTGATTTTAGTGGGGAATAAATTGAAATTCTAGCTTTTCTAGCTTCAATATTAAGATAGTTTCCTCTATTTTTCTTGATTTCAGTTTTTCAATTTTTCTCCTCTTTTTCAAATTCCGAAAATGTAATTCAAACTTTTTGAATTTGGCTGAAAAATTCAGAACATACTTTGTGATAATTTCTTTCCATCTACCGTACTTTTTGAGATATGCGCCTTTAAAATTGCCGCGTTTTTGCACCCAGGCGCATGGGAGTACAAGTAGGAGGGTTTGGTGTGCTGACTTTAAAGGCGCATATCTCAGAAAAATTGGTAGCTGGAAAAAAAACTGATAAACTACACAAATCTAGCAAATAACATTTTACGTAATTCCATAATTTACAAATTTATTCTAGCTATCATAGTTTTTGAGCTTTGCGCCTTTAAAGTTAATACCTCTTTTGCCCAAAGGGAAGTAGAGGTGACACGACTTTAAAGACGCATATCTCAAAAACCAAATAAAAAAAACTATAAACTATAAAAATATATTTAACCATTTTTCATGCATTTTTTCAATTGATGACTTGTCTCTAGCTACCGTAGTTTTTGAGGTATGCGCCTTTAAAGAAAGCGCCCTCCCCTCTCTCTCTTCAAGCGTCGGCTCTTCAAGCGTCGGGGAGGCGCAACAACTTCAAAGGCGAATATCTAAAAAGCTACTGTAGCTAGAAAAAAGTTGTCAACTAACAAAATAAAGCTCTTGATTTGTTTTATAATTTGTGATATTTTTAAACTAATCAAACAGTACTAAATGATTTTCACAGCACTCAAATTACACCAATTTACATACAGTGCATAAGTATAAAGCCACTCCGAAATCTAGCTATTAGGTTGGCGGGAAAGTCTTTGTCACTCTGTTTGTTTAATCACTGTTCTCGTATATGGAGGCTGTGTATGATATCGACTTTAGTGAATAACAAGGTGATAAGAACCTTCCATATAAACAAGTCCCCATCTCCTTCCCTGCTCCTCATCTGTAATTGAAACGATATGTTTGTTCCCACTGCTATTCACATCAGACATGTTTTGATTTACCTCTTCCTATCTCACACCACGATGAAGGATTCGGAAACTTTCTTGAAGAATGTGTACAACACACATGCCCCTCACTACAATACTATTCGCAATTGGTTCCATCGTTTCGAAAAAGATGACTTCTCGCTCGATGAAAAGGATCGCTCTGGGAGACCCCGTGAGTTGGATTTGGACAAGCTGAAGCACGCATTGCAATCGGATCCATTTCAATCTAGCCGTGAACTAGCTGTCACATTCGGAGTTCACCATAGCACAGTCCTTGAAGGTTTGAAGTCTCTTGGAATGAGAAAACTTTTTGGTCGATTCATACCTCATCACCTGACTCAAGCCAACCTTGACCGCCGAGTCGACGATTCGATTACTCTTCTCACTCTCCACGCGGGCGATCGATGGCTGGACCGGCTAATAACCGGAGATGAGAAGTGGGTCTTCTACGATAATCACCACAGGAAATCCCAGTGGGTTGGAGAAGGAGAGAGCCCACAGGATGTCCCCAAACCCGACCTTCATCCGAAAAAAGTTATGCTCTCTGTGTGGTGGGGAGTGGACGGCCCCATCTACTGGGAACTTCTGCCCGAGGGCAAAACAATAACTGGAGACCTCTACACTACTCAACTACGAAACCTCAAGAAAGCAGTCGACCGTTCGGCCCTGAAAGACAAGAAAGTGTACTATCAACATGATAACGCTCGCCCACATGTTTCGAAACAAGTGAAGCAGGAGCTGATGGGATATGGATGGAATGTTCTCCCTCACCCCCCGTATTCTCCTGATCTTGCTCCTTCCGACTATTGGTTATTTGGCGATATGACACGTGCCTTCGAAGGAAGAAGCTTCAATTCCCGTGGAGCGGTCGAAGCGGCACTCAAACAATACTTTGCCTCACGCCCGGCTGGATTCTACCGCAATGGAATCCATAAATTGAGGGAACGTTGGAGACATGTTGTTGATAATGATGGACAATATAATTAATTATTCGGTTATTTTTCTTTGAGAAATAAACTATTGAAAAAGTNACAAANACTTTCCCNCCAACCTAATATAACGTTTTTAATTTTTTGAAAATCTGAAACCAGAATCGTAATCAGCATCCTTTTTCCTAAAGTGGCTTTATACTTAAGTTACGCTTACAGAAACCGATTTTTCAGCTTTTGTCCGGCCATTCCGTCCGTTTGAAGTATAAAATCACCAAAAACATTTTACTGGGGTAATTTTAGATGCTGATTACGATTCTGGCTTCAGATTTTCAAAAAATTGCGAATCTTAAAAGTTATAGCTAGATTTAGGGGTGGCTTTATACTTATGTTACGCACTGTATTAAGAAAAGAGAGGAACTTACTGTAAAGAAGAAATCAAAAACGCTCAAATTGTGAATAGTGTCCAAGAGGCTGTCCAAAAAGTTCCCAAACTCTTCGAAAACCTTGAATCTTCGGGTCCCATGCCATCTATATGAATCCAAATCATCACATCCATCAGATTCCACAGTTATGGTCAATTTCCCAATTCCTTGAAGTTGTTTCAATTCCTTGTAGCATCTCTCCAGAAGTCTTCAATGATATTGTCATCAGAATCATCATGAAGAAATTCGGTTTCAAATTCGAATGCGGTTAATTGTTTTGGTGTTAGATAACGAAGTTTGATTTTGGAATCTGTGAGATTCAGATGGAATTCGTCCACAAAATTTATGGGTTTCGTGATAATAAGCATTTCTAATTTTTCTTCTTCATTTCTCACGTCTTCTACGTTTTCCACGCCTCCTGGCTTTAGATCACTGCCATCTGAGGAGGACATCTGGAACTTTATTAGTGTTAAATTTCAAAAAAAAAAATGTATTGGAAAAGTTTAAACTCCCAGGAATATAGAGAAATTTGTTTCCAAGAAACTACTTTAAACTTTTCCAATTTGTCTGGAAATTTCAGAAAATATTAATAAAAACTAGAGCTTAATTTTTGTAGTTGACAACTTTTTTCTAGCTACCATAGTTTATAATCTCCAATTTGAATTTTTGAAAAATCATCATTTTTTCAAAAGTTTTGGCACTTTTACGAGGGCTTCCTTCACCTTTTTGAGAGCTGGCCGGCGGCTCTGATAGTTTCCAAGCTTGATTTCCTAATATTCTGAAATTTAAAACTTGTCATATTTTATATCATTTTGAAGCTTTTTCTAAGGGCTACATTTTACAGTTTGAATTTATATATATTGATTTTTACAAAAGGTTATGAGAATTTTTCAGAACGGACAAAACGGAACATCATCATCCTCATCGTCAAATGCATCTTCAACCAATAGCTCGTTATAATTATCCATTTTGCTTCCCAAAAATTTTTTCAAAACTTCTCATCTCTCCTCCTATCGGTCCTCATCACTATTTT